TTGACGGTTTATTCATTTTAAAAGTATATTTATCTTACAGGATTTTATTTGATTTTAAAGTCATTTCTTCACATTTTTGAACACACTATTTTTTAAAATTTATTTTTAACCTGTTCGAGTCTAGGATCAACCGCTGCCTCTTCCTCGTAGCCGCATAAGCTGTGCTTCTCACTCTGTAACTCTCTACATCGAGTGGCTCCCGGGCCTTATAAAGGGTGGACCTTACTGTAAAAAAAAAAGAAAAGAGGAATTGAGAATAGGAAATTTTGATGAAGAATGCACGACGATCCAATATCTTTCCTATATAATATATATATATATATATATATATATATATATATATATATACCTGCCACTCGTATTCGAGGATACCCGTCTACTAGAGGGGCTAGCCAATCTTGTTGCAGGCTCTTGCTCAGGTGCATTTGTGTTTATTCAACACACATGTGGTTTGTACTGCAACTATACTGAGCAACCTTAGATACAGTTTCTATAAAGCGTGTTATCTAGCGTGATCAACAAGTTGAATAAAACCAGTACGTTCAATCTCTCGGTCACGATGACTTGTGATATCGTGCTAGCACAGCTATCGATGGGTGCGTAGCCGAGTGTTTAGAACGTTCGCATTCTAACCATGAAACTCGGGTTCGAATCTCACCCTGGTCGATTTGTCAGGAAGGAGACTTCATGATGTCATCGGACTGGAGGGGGACGATCCCAGCGTGCGGGACCTTTGGAAAGTGCCTAAAAACAATACCAAAGGTTGACCCAAGCCTTGTAAGTGAAATTGGGGAGACGGTTTATTGTAAGGTTGCCATCAATTATTTCCCTGACCCTACAGTGAACGCTCATCCCTAACGTTGTGGTAACGCTGAAATATTCCGTACTGGTCAGAATAGATTTTCTTCACTTTATGTATGGAAGATATCAAATTCCTTTTCCTACTTTTCAATTTCCCTCTACCACTTCAGTAAATACCTGACTCTTCGTGATATCCTCTACTTTTACAGGAGCCAAATCAGGCCTAAAATAGAATACTGCTGTCATATTTGGTTAGGAGTTGCCAAGACCTCACTTTCCAACCTCGATGGAGTTCGAAAGCTTCTCCGAGTTCTTGTGGGTGACAAATTATTTAGGACCTTGGAACCCTTCTCTCACGGGTGAAATGTCGTAAGCCTCTCATTGTTCTATCGTTGCTTCCATAGAAAATGCTCAGAAGAACTACTTTTCTTAGTTTCACAAGTTCTAACCTTCATGGCGAGGAACCGCCATGATACGCACATTGTAATGAACCACCTTCCGTATTCCATTGGTGAGAAGTAAGATTCACTTGAGCAGGTTCTTCCCGCGAACCAATGCTCTGTGTACCCGACTCTCAAGAGGTCGTTTTCCGAATCACGACAATCTTAACCTGTTCAAGTCTAGAGTTAACCGTTATCTTCCCCACGGAGCTGCACAAGCTGTGCTTCTTACACTATAACACTCAACCGCATGTGGCCTCTTGTGCATGATGAACATTATAGTGTATTCCTAATCAATCAAAATATCGTAAATAATTATATAGGCCACACTACAACATGTTTGATACGCAGACTCATTCTACACCTTTCTGACCATAGCTCAATTTGATCTCATTTAAACATTCATAGAGACCTACCAGACACTATTCGTAACATACTTGTTGACAACACTAATAATAGCATCATCTACATGTGCAAAAAAAGGCTAAAAATAATAGAAGCCTTATTAATAAAAACAAAAAAAACAACACTTAATATTAACTTTGAACATGGACACAATATTTTGACTGTGTTTTGACAAAATGAAAACATTATAAAACATACATACAACAAAGTATTTCTTATTTAACAGTTAAAATATTTAATCCTTGAAAATGGCTAAATGTATAGCCGAAAGCGCTCGGTTAAAAAGAACATTAGGACAGTTTTTATATAATTTATTATCCGAAAAAAAATTATTAGATCGCATGAGAAATTGTATAAAAAAAGCACCTTGTCTGTCGTATTCAATGAAATGTGCATGAAAGAAGGATTGCTGCCGAAATACACACACACACGTGTATATATATATATATATATATATATATATATATAGAGAGAGAGAGATAGATAGATAGATAGATAATAGTGGTCAATATATATATATATAGATAGATAGATAATATTAGTGGTCAATATATATATATAGAGAGAGATAGAGATAGATAGATAATATTAGTGGTCAATATATATATATATATATATATATATATATATATATATATAGATAGATAGATGGATAATATTAGTGGTCAATATATATATATATATATATATATATAGATAGATAGATAGATAGTATTAGTGGTCAATATATATATATATATATTTCCACGAGGAAATATAAAGTAAATAGTAAATGTAAGCCAGATGACAAATATTCATGTATACATTGGTATCGTAAATGTTAGCTAGATGAACATTTTGGATCTTTCAATGATTTCTCCCCACACCTCTTTCCCCCTCCCCTTTCTTGTATCTAATGACACCAGAAATGTTTTCACAATTTTCCGCTGTCTGTGTTTTTTTTTAATTTAAGTCAACGAATCGGAAGTTAATTTATGCAACTAACACTAACTGGCATTCATCGAAATCACTCCTTAAAAAAGTTAATTTAACTTCTCTCTTTAAAACGATAATGGTTACTGAATGGTGGCTTTCAAACGGGTCGCAGGCGATTTGTCCCACGTTGAGCTGTTAGATCTAAACCAGAGGAGAGATCAGGTGCATGACTATAAACATATTGATTTTGGAACGTGCTTCCATAAACTTTGGTATCGTCTACGTAGATGTTATCTAATCATCTGAGAATGTTCCTGGGTAGATAGATAATTGTTGTAACCTACAGAGGGTTATTGAATGAGGATTAACCAAAACAGAGGTTGGAAACGAAATGGTAATCTTTATAACATCAACAAAATACAATACTCTCCAGCGCCGTGAAGTAGGTAAACCACTGCTTGTGGTGGACTACTTAGACACCATATTACCCCCCCCCACTTACAATAGTGTCCAAACGTATTTATGAGGATTGGGACATGCTTCATTCGTGTTCATAGATACGGTATATAACAGCTGTATATATTTTTAAGCATTTTTACCCCCAAGAAATACAATAAATCCATTATGATTCAGGGGTTTAACGAATGCGAATGAACGTGGGAAAAAGAAAAGGAGAGAGAACAATAAAAGAACTAGAATTTAGAAGACGAAAGATAACGATTGATGCTACATTTAAACTTTTAAACATCAAAGTTGACTGGAAAGCAAGAGACCAGAAGAGATTTTTTTTTACAAGATAGCTAGAAACCTTACGCCAATATGGTACTGCGATTAAATCTATAAGGTCTAGAAAAAATAAGAACAATTGCCGTGAAAATATTATAGAATAAGCACTAGAAGCTACGATACGTCGGTTGGAAAGTAACTAAATTCGAAATGCCAGGTTTGATCCGATAAATTTACAAGTTCTTCTTTGGATTTTAACCAATAATCTTTAAATATATAACAGGTACACCAGCTCAGATATGACAGCAATATTCAATATGTGGTAGAATGATACATGTTTCTGCAGGTCTGTGTCCGAATACTTTTAACACAAAACTTAGAATTTAAACGCTACAAATTATCTTACAGTAACCACATATTAGGTAAAAGAGTATAGTTAACTAAAAAAAAAAAAAAATGATTAAAAATGAAAAAAATGAACTTGTAAGAGCTGCGCTTGATACCTCAGGTGTCAGCAATGGAAGAAAGACGTTGATTGGTTAATATAAGCCAATCACCGCCTTTCTAAAATATCTCGCGATAGTTCTAAACTTGCATAAAATTCAAGAACTCTTCATTCTTCAGCGGACAATGCCAAATAAAAACGTTGAAACAAAACCAGACATGCTGTACGCCCACCAAGTTGGAACGAAATAAAAAAAAAGCAGCACATGGAACGACTTGAAACTATTCTTCCGAGAACAGAAAATAGTTTAAACACCGTTATTGTCCATAAAAATATAGAAATACTGAATTAATCTTTGTTCTTCCGCCATAAGTTCTCCCGTCTTTTAAAAGGTGGGAAATGATTCATTCGTTACGTCCAGCGGAATCATTACTGAAACCTAACACAAATACAAAATAACCTATTGGAAAGCGATTCTTAGTAAGTTAAACAGCATATAAACAATAACTTTTCATCAGGGGTTTTATGGCCTTTTTTTATAGTAAAAGTTAAGTCAGCTATATGCCATGCGTGATACACGCTTAGGCGATCATGTATCTTTCGATGCATGACTGACGAGGCAGATTTTTTTTCCCGCAGTAGGTTGCTATTTCTTTCTGCGGTAGACCAGTAGCCATCCATAGAACCCGGTCTGTCCTGCTATTTACTCATAGGTGGGAGGAGAAGAAGAGGATTCGTACCTTCCCCAAGGGTATTAGCTCGTAAGTGAGTCGTTAAAAGTGTTAAAGATTTTGGGACGCAGTCGGCCATTCCATATGTGCGCCGGCCATATTTAGGAAGTAGATTTTATGAACGTGATTGCAAGCCAGCTCCGTTTTTGTACTAATAACTGAGAGAAGAAGGAGTGGCTTTGAATTCAGAGTGTGGCTAAAGATCCCAGCCTGCTGTTATTTTCCCATGATTAGGGACAGGAAGAAACGCTTTCTCGTCCTTATCGTGTGTATTAATTAAAAAATGAAGGAAACATTTGAACTTAGCTCATTAATTCCATGTTCTTTATTTCTAAAAATTATTTTAATGGCAGTCCGTTGGATACAGACAGAAGGAAACATGGGAAGAAAGGACTTTTTAAAATGAAAAAAAAAAAACGTTACAAAAATTACTGGGTTCAAAAAATTGTAAGAAATGAGTTTAAAATTTTTTTCTTTTTTTCTTTTCCTACCTTCTTTCTTTCTGCATTTCTTTACATATCTTTTATCTTTCTTCACATGTATTCTTTCTTGCTTCTCAAATCTTCTTTCTTTTCATATCTTCTTTCTTCTCTTCTTTCTTTCTTTCATTCTTTCTTCACACATCTTTCTTTCTCATATCTTCTTCCTACACACACATTATTTCCTTCTTTCTTTACATGTCTTCTTTCTTTCTCATATTGTCTTCCTTTTTATACTTTCTTTCTTTATTTCTTTCTCATATTGTCTTCCTTTTTATACTTTCTTTCTTTCTTTCTTTCTCATATTGTCTTCCTTTTTATACTTTCTTTCTTTCTTTCTTTCTCATATTGTCTTCCTTTTTATACTTTCTTTCTTTCTTTCTTTCTTTCTTCTCATATCTTCTTTATTCTTTCTTTACAAGTCTTCTTTCTTTCTCATAACATATTCCTACACATAACTTCTTTCTTTCTTTCTTTCTTCACATATATTCTTCCTTCATGTATCTTCTTTCTTTCTTTCTTTCTTTCTTCACATATCTTCTTCCTTCATGTATCTTCTTTCTTTCTTTCTTTCTTTCTTTCTTCACATATCTTCTTCCTTCATGTATCTTCTTTCTTTCTTTCTTCACATATCTTCTTCCTTCATGTATCTTCTTCCTTCATGTATCTTCTTTCTTTCTTTCTTTCTTTCTTTCTTTCTTGTATCTTCTTCCTTCATGTATCTTCTTTCTTTCTTTCTTTCTTTCTTTCTTCTTCATATCTTCTTCCTTCATGTATCTTCTTTCTTTCTTTCTTTTCTTTCTTTTCTTTCTTCCTTCATGTATCTTCTTTCTTTCTTTCTTTTTTCTTTCTTTCTTTCTTTCTTCTTCCTTCATGTATCTTCTTTCTTTCTTTCTTTTCTTTCTTTCTTTCTTCATATCTTCTTCCTTCTTCTTTCTTCTTTCTTTCTTTCTTCACATATCTTCTTCCTTCATGTATCTTCTTTTTCTTTCTTTCTTTCTTTCTTCACATATCTTCTTCCTTCATGTATCTTCTTTCTTTTTCTTTCTTTCTTCACATATCTTCTTCCTTCATATCTTATCTTCTTTCTTTTTTCTTTCTTTCTTTCTTCACATATCTTCTTCCTTCATGTATCTTCTTTCTTTCTTTCTTTCTTTTTCTTTTCCTTTCTTTCTTTCTTTCTTTCTTTCACATATCTTCTTCCTTCATGTATCTTCTTTCTTTCTTTCTTTCTTCACATATCTTCTTCCTTCATTCTTTATCTTCTTTCTTTCTTTCTTTCTTCTTTATCTTCTTCCTTCATGTATCTTCTTTCTTTCTTTCTTTCTTTCTTCACATATCTTCTTCCTTATCTTGTATCTTCTTTCTTTCTTTCTTCACATATCTTCTTCCTTCATGTATCTTCATTCTTTCTTTCTTCACATATCTTATTCCTTCATGTATCTTCTTTCTTTCTTTCTTTCTTCACATATCTTCTTCCTTCATGTATCTTCTTTCTTTCTTTCTTTCTTTCTTTCTTCACATATCTTCTTCCTTCATGTGTCTTCTTTCTTTCTTTCTTTCTTTCTTTCTTCACATATCTTATTCCTTCATGTATCTTCTTTCTTTCTTTCTTTCTTTCTTCACATATCTTATTCCTTCATGTATCTTCTTTCTTTCTTTCTTTCTTTCTTTCTTTCTTCACATATTTATTCCTTCATGTATCTTCTTTCTTTCTTTCTTTTTCTTCAGATATCTTATTCCTTCATGTATCTTCTTTTCTTTCTTTCTTTCTTCACATATCTTCTTCCTTCATGTATCTTCTTTCTTTCTTTTTCTTTCTTCTTCATATCTTCTTCCTTCATGTATCTTCTTTCTTTCTTTTTCTTTCTTCTTTCTTATCTTTCTTCCTTCATCTTATCGTCTTTCTTTCTTTCTTTCTTCTTCATATCTTCTTCCTTCATGTATCTTCTTTCTTTCTTTCTTTTTTTCACATATCTTCTTCCTTCATGTATCTTTCTTTCTTTCTTTTTCTTTCTTCACATATCTTCTTCCTTCATGTATCTTCTTTCTTTCTTTCTTTCTTCACATATCTTCTTCCTTCATGTATCTTCTTTCTTTCTTTCTTTCTTTCTTCACATATCTTCTTCCTTCATGTATCTTCTTTCTTTCTTTCTTCACATATCTTCTTCCTTCATGTATCTTCTTTCTTTCTTTCTTTCTTTCTTTCTTCACATATCTTCTTCCTTCATGTATCTTCTTTCTTTCTTTCTTTCTTCACATATCTTCTTCCTTCATGTATCTTCTTTCTTTCTTTCTTTCTTTCTTCACATATCTTCTTCCTTCATGTATCTTCTTTCTTTCTTTCTTTCTTCACATATCTTCTTCCTTCATGTATCTTCTTTCTTTCTTTCTTTCTTTCTTCACATATCTTCTTCCTTCTCTTGTATCTTCTTTCTTTCTTTCTTTCTTTCTTCACATATCTTCTTCCTTCATGTATCTTCTTTTTTTTCTTTCTTTCTTTCATATCTTCTTCCTTCATGTATCTTCTTCTTTCTTTCTTTCTTTCTTCATATCTTCTTCCTTCATCTTCTTTTCTTTCTTTCTTTCTTTCTTTCTTCACATCTTCTTCTTCCTTCATGTATCTTCTTTCTTTCTTTCTTTCTTTCTTCACATATCTTCTTCCTTCATGTGTCTTCTTTTTCTTTCTTTCTTTCTTCTTCATATCTTCTTCCTTCATGTATCTTCTTTCTTTCTTTCTTTCTTTCTTTCTTCCATATCTTATTCCTTCATGTATCTTCTTTCTTTCTTTCTTTCTTTCTTCTTTCTTTATTTTCTTCCTTCATGTATCTTCTTTCTTTCTTTCTTTTTCTTTCTTTTCATATCTTTTCCTTCATGTATCTTCTTTCTTTCTTTTTCTTTCTTCACATATTTTCTTCCTTCATGTATTTATCTTCTTTCTTTTTTTTCTTTCTTCACATATCTTATTCCTTCATGTATCTTCTTTCTTTCTTTCTTTCTTTCTTCACATATCTTCTTCCTTCATGTATCTTCTTTCTTTCTTTCTTTCTTCACATATCTTCTTCCTTCATGTATCTTCTTTCTTTCTTTCTTTCTTCACATATCTTCTTCCTTCATGTATCTTCTTTCTTTCTTTCTTTCTTCACATATCTTCTTCCTTCATGTATCTTCTTTCTTTCTTTCTTTCTTTCTTCACATATCTTCTTTCCTTCATCTTCTTCTTCTTTCTTTCTTTCTTTCTTTCTTCACATATCTTCTTCCTTCATGTATCTTCTTTCTTTCTTTCTTTCTTTCTTCACATATCTTCTTCCTTCATGTATCTTCTTTCTTTCTTTCTTTCTTTCTTTCTTCACATATCTTCTTCCTTCATGTATCTTTCTTTCTTTCTTTCTTTCTTTCTTCCATATCTTCTTCCTTCATGTATCTTCTTTTTCTTTCTTTCTTCATATCTTCTTCCTTCATTCTTATCTTCTTTCTTTCTTTCTTTCTTCACATATCTTCTTCCTTCATGTATCTTCTTTCTTTCTTTTCTTTCTTCACATATCTTCTTCCTTCATGTATCTTCTTTCTTTCTTTCTTTCTTCTTTCTTTTCATGTATCTTCTTTCTTTCTTTCTTTCTTCATATTTTCTTCCTTCATGTATCTTCTTTCTTTCTTTCTTTCTTTCTTCACATATCTTCTTCCTTCATGTATCTTCTTTCTTTCTTTCTTTCTTCACATATCTTCTTCCTTCATGTATCTTCTTTCTTTCTTTCTTTCTTTCTTCACATATCTTCTTCCTTCATGTATCTTCTTTCTTTCTTTCTTTCATCTTTCTTTTTTCTTTCTTCTTCTTTCCTTTCTTTCTTTCTTTCTTTCTTTCTTTCTTATATCGTCTTCCTTTTTATACTTTCTTTCTTTCTTTCTTCACATATCTTCTTCCTTCATGTATCTACTTTCTTTCTTTCTTTCTTTCTTTCTTTCTTTCTTTCTTTCTTTCTAACTTATTTATTTTCCGTGATCATATTTCTTTAATATTATTGAAGTTAATGGGTCTGACTGATTTTCCATAATTCTAAGTTGCTTATATTTGACTCACGCATCGATTGGGAACTGAAGCTTGCCCAATAAAATGATTATTGCCTGAATAATCCCATCGATCAACAATCATCGATATTCATAAACTGTTTATTGGATCTGAAATCGACAACCAGTATGAATTTCTTACTTGCAAATAAAACGGTCGTTGTGATATCAACGATTTCCATTTAGGCGAGGTCACGACCTGAATGAACCCCGGGACGGTCAAGGGTGAGCAACGCTGAAACCCCGAGAAGAATTTACCGAAGGGGAAATAAATATTTCCAAGGGGAGTGGAGACGGACCAAATTGATTCCCTAAAGTCGATGCTGGTCATTTGTCGCGAGTTGATAGAAGGAAATGTCTCCTCACAAGTGGAAGAAAACCGGGTGGGAGAGAAGCGTGTCAAAATTGTCCTAGGGCAATTACACTGGGGAGACATCCATATGAGAAAGATTTTGGATTGACACAACTAATAAATAGACAAAAAAAAAAAAAAGTTTAAAAAAACAAAATAAACACCTCCTAACAACCAATCTCTCAACACTTATAATTCAGTACACCAGGTGTAACGGCAAAATTGTCCAAATTGTTTAAAAATTTTGAACTGTTGTATCTTAGAAATGATTAAAGATATATTACCGGAATTCTCCGAGATTTTTTATAACACTATTGGACTCTACTTTGAGCAATAAGAATGTATAATTACTCTCCAAGCTTAACAAAAGAGTTGTGATTATAAACGAAAATGACATGTTCATCATTAATTAATCATTGCTAAGGATCGGAAGCTCATGATGGGTCGTAATAAAGTTTAATATATATATATATATATATATATATATATATATATATATATATATATATATATATATATATCTGAATTATTCACACAAAACTAATGCAAAGGTTAATGGTTTAAATGGCGAGACATCCATCATCGCAAACAATTCAAATAGTACACAAAAACCTCCAGATCCGTTATGAATGAATTGATCCTTGTTTATATAAATTTCTGCCGTATTAGTTGTTATTTTACTACAAGCTTTCGTCTGTTCCTACAGACATCTTCAGGTATATAATAGATGTTGTTCTTGTTTTTTTTTCTCTTAGTAATAAGAGGACATCGAAAATATATGTGTTATTGTATCCGAAATGCTATTGAAAATGAGTTATTGGTTTTTGAACGCGCCAAAGCAACGCTGAGTTTGATTTTAAATTTTTTAAAGTGTTTGCGTTTATACCAAATATGGTGATGAACAAATTTTTACTGGTAAATTTTACTGTCAAAGTGGCATGAACTATATTGTTCAATAATTACAGTAATGTCACACTTATTATCTAAAAGTCGCACATGGATCAGTTATTTAAATTACAATAAACGTGCAATCAATTTACAAATACATGAATTATTCACACAAAACTAATGCAAAGGTTAATGGTTTAAATGGCGAGACATCCATCATCGCAAACAATTCAAATAGTACACAAAAACCTCCAGATCCGTTATGAATGAATTGATCCTTGTTTATATAAATTAAAATCAAACTCAGCGTTGCTTTGGCGAGTTCAAAAACCAATAACTCATTTTCAATAGTACTATTTGAATTGTTTGCGATGATGGATGTCTCGCCATTTAAACCATTAACCTTTGCATTAGTTTTGTGTGAATAATTCATGTATTTGTAAATTGATTGCACGTTTTATATATATATATATATATATATATATATATATATATATGGAATAATGGATAGCGGCTTGGAGGGAGTAATCGGTGAGCCGAGTTCGAATTCCATTCGAATCCATTACATTCGCTTAAGTGCTAATACCCTTGGGAAAAATCTGAATCCTCTTCTTCTCCCTCCAGCTACGGGTAAATAGCAAGACAGACTGGGTTCTATTAGATGGCAACTGGTCTATGAGAAGGACAACTCTGAATTCAAAACCTGCGGAGGGTCGCTTGGGGACCTTGTGGCACGTAGTGCACCAGGTCTCTGTATTCGGCCCTTCAAAAAGTGTGGCTGGTCCTGCACGAAACCTTCACCACTATAATCAAATCTCATGTGCTGTTGTCGGGCTGTCGGTTTCCTAGGAACTGATCTGCTTGACCCTCATTCGTCGATTTCGACGGGAAAGTCGACTATATATATATATATATATATATATATATATAGTAAAAAAAAAAAAGGAAAAACAGTAACATATGTAATCCGGTGTTCTTATAGATACTTTTATTTTTACAAAATAGTACTCAATGTAAATTTACAGAGCATAAATATTATAAATTAACTGATTTAAAATATGGTTTCTTCGCTACACAGGAATTACCAGGTTTCAAAAACAGTAAACAAAACTTCAAATTCAATTATATTAAATTAAAAGCATTTGTTCTGTTTCATATTCAAGCGAATATATATATATATATATATATATATATATATATGATCTAGGATCATTTTTCATGTTATGCAAGCTGATCTTCGCCTTATCTAAAGTTTTAACTTTCTGTCCTTGCGTAAGTAGTTGCCTCACGGGGTTCGCGTACGATTTAATTTCCAAGTCTTTATTCACTGCTCTTTGGACTGTCATAGCTGAAACTCCTCTCTGACGTTCCAAATGAGTTGGACCTTTTCTAATTGGTCTCTTTAGCTCTAAGTTGAAATGATGATCCCTCTTCCTGTTGTGACACACTGATCCAGTTTACTGTTCCCTCTTTTTAAATTATTCACCGTTACCTTGATGGTTCTTGAATGGACTTTGAAGAGAGAAGCCAGAGTATGAAGGTTGGTACTATTAATGAAGGCCTGAATGATCTTTTTCTCTCTCATTTTCATTGCTCATTTGGGAAGACAGTGGATCTGACACAAAACGATTTTAATCTGTTCTCTTTCTAGCTGAATTGGCCAAAGGATTTCCCCCTAACCCTTACCACAAATGGCGTCAAGATGGCTAAAAGTCTTATCCGAAAATCTGTAAAAAGAATCTCAATTAGTGTAGTGTTTTTTTTTTTTATTTTTTTTTATAGATATTAAACATTTTATGGGAAGGAAAATTATGCTGTAACAGGATTTGAACAATTTTGCTGTTACACCCAGTATATATATATATATATATATATATATATATATATATATATATTTGTAGTCCTGGGTATATGACTGTGTATGACGATAATCTATATTCGGATCGGGAGATCGGAGTTTTTGGGGATCATGTAACCACCTGTCAATTGCTGTTGTTCCAGGTCCACCCTAACCCTGGGTGGTAGCACCTGTTAGGGTCTCAGCTATTGGCAAACAGTAAACTCTCAAACAGAAACAAAACACTGTGAAATATATCAATAGTAAAAATAGCAGCCATACCTATTTTTAGCAAAATGACCAACAATACATTTTATAGCAAAATGACCAACAATACATTTTATCTGTAGTCGAAGGCATGCAATTGCATTCAAAATGTTTTTACTGAGTCAGAAAATTGCGTCCAAAATATTTAGATTTCGACATTAAATAACACGCAGCTGTGTTGATATTCAGCTAAACAAAATCAACCAACCATATATATATGTGTGTATGCAGGAGAAGATGATATATACAGTGGCTTGCAAATGTCTACATCCCCGGGAGGCACCTTTTGGCACTGACTGAAAACAGTAATCGTTGGTGAAAATATACAGCCTTAGATATCCACAGAATTCCACCATAGAGTCCCCGACAATGTCCCTATCTATCTATCTATCTATCTATCTATCTATCTAATCTTTCCCTTTCATTATCTATCTATCTATCTATCTATCTATCTATCTATCTATCTATCTAATCCTTTCCCTTTCATTATCTATCTATCTATCTATCTATCTATCTATCTATCTATCTTCCCTTTCTATCTAATCTATCTATCTATCTATCTATTAATCCTTTCCTTTCATTATCTATCTATCTATCTATCTCTATCTATCTATCTATCTATCTTTCATTATCTATCTATCTATCTATCTATCTATCTATCTATCTATCTGCTTATGGTTTACGATCATTACTCGTTCCCCCGATCATCGATGTCTCCTTACATTTGATCATTTTCCAGATAGGCCCTTCAAAATTTCAAACATCATTCTATATATATATATATATATATATGTGTGTGTGTGTGTGTGTGTGTGTGTGTGAGAGAGAGAGAGAGAGAGAACGAAAATAAAATATAAATTCTAACGTTCACAGCATTAAATTGTAAAGAGGGCTTAATACCGATATTAGAGCAATAATTATTTATAATTTTTTCATAGAGACAAAAGCAGTTTACTCACTACAGTGATGCAACTTCGTTTCGGTGCATTTCAACTGCACATCGACGGGTGAGAACCAAAATGGTTATGAACAATTCTGCTTGTAAGCAAGCCGTATGGGAAACGTCACTTCCTTTTTTCCATTATATATATACACAAAGCAAAAAGGTGACATAGTGAAACAACAGTGCTTGTTGATAGAATTTTGGTTAAGGATGTTTACTTTATTCACGCATGCGCACAATTACACAGACATACACACATTGTAGAAATATTTTGCATTAACAATGAAGAAACTTGTCTCAATACTTGTAGCGTAATATATATATATATATATATATATATATATATATATATATATATATATATATATATATATAAAGAAAGAACAGTAAGATATATAATCCGGTGTTCTTATGGATATTTTTATTTTTAAAAAATAATGCTCAATGTAAATTTACAGAGCATTAATATTATAAATTAATTGAGTTAAAATATGTTTTTTTTCGCTACACAGTTCTAACCATGTTTCAAAAAGGGAAGCTAAAAGCCCCGAATTTAATTTTGTGATTAAATTAAAGACATTAGTCCCATTTCATACTCAAGCGAATTTTGGAGTAACTTTTATATTACTG